GTGAGAGAGAGAGAGAGAGAGAGAGAGAGAGAGAGAGAGAAATTTTTTTTTGTTTGAGAGGGTTCTAAATCACAGGTATCAGCTTCAACTCTGTTCATTCACTTTATGTTTATCTCATTATATGGCAGGGGCAAATGTGAAAATTATGATAGCAGAAATGAAGACTTTCACAGATTTGTATACTTGGTTGGGTGAGCCACAGATTTAAAGATGGGTGTTAAGTCATGCAACAGAGTAGAATTGGAAAGTAACAAAAACTTTGGATATTTCATCAGTTGGATATTCCATGCATTTTTCAGAGGGCTGTACCACTCCTCCCTCCATCGCCTCAGCCACATACTCCCCGCCACAGGGTCCATACAGGGAGGGTTCCCAGGTGACCTACACCTGCGCTACTGGTCTGGTCCAGACGTCCGGCAGCAGGACTCTCACCTGTAGAGGGGGGCAGTTTGTGGGGACTAGGATGACCTGTGGAGGTAAGTTATTGGAGTTTTGTTCATCAAGACAGAATGAACTCTTTCTGTAGCAGAACTTAATCTGCAGTTGAATAGTTTATAGGGATTAACTTGTAGAGCTAAATTACAGACGATATTTTAAAATAATAGAAAAAGCTTATCAGTAATCTTGAGAAAGGCATCTCACCATTCAACATGTGGGATTCAATCTACAGGTTCTGAATAGACCAAAAAGGAGTCTTTTTCCATGGAGCAGATTTCTTAATAATTGTGGAAAATTGTGGTATTGGTTTAAGAATGTTTTTTTCAGTGCATCATGAATCAGATAAATATACTAAGTGGATTAATTAATAAATTTGAACATTTCATTCTCAGTTGGCTGTACAAGTGACCCAGTGGCCCCAGCCAATAGCTTCAGCAATGCTACAGGAGGTCCTTATCAAAATGGCGACATCATCTACTACGAGTGTGTCAGTGGATATGTGCCAACAGGGGGCAGTGCGTTCCTCACCTGTAGCCAGGGGAGGTTTGTTGGGGAGCGCCTCACCTGCTCTGGTATGTGGTACACTGTATTCCACGTCATTGTTAAAATGTGACATTATTTTACCAGATGATGGATGTATACAATGATGTATATAATGTTATTAAAAAGCATTTAGTAGAAAATGTGTAATTTTTTGGAATAAATTGAATTTAACTAGAAGATATGACACTTTTATATCCTTGTCTATGTAACAAAAAAAGTGATTTTATTGATTTCAAACTAAACATTATATGCACTGAAGTGTCTGTGTGCTGAATTGACATTTACTGTTGCCTTTTATCTTTACATTTTCAAATATTTAATATTATTTTGCCCAATCACCACCAGGTGGCTGCCTGTCCCCTCCTCCCAGCATTCCCAATGCCCTCCTGACGCCAATGGCGCGGCCATATCTGTCAGGCATGCTGGCCCAGTACAGATGTGCGAACAATTACGTCAAAGTTGGAACCAGTGATTCGTTGACGTGTTCCAATGGGCCTTGGATAGGAACAAGAATACAGTGTCAGCGTAAGTAATGGCAATTGCTCGCTATATTCCGTCATAATTGATATCATTATAAATTCTGGAATAACAATGTGTTAATGATACCTAAAAAATAGTGACAATAACAGATACGATGTTTTCTTTTTTTGTGTCAACAGCCAAAAGTTTTAAACTTTAAATAATGCTCTGTTAGCTAGTTGTGTGAAATGTTCATTAAATGTTAGTAAGAGACCAGCAAAGAAATTCATTTTGTATTTAACAGTAAAGGCAATGTTCCTGCTCTTAGGTATAATAATTTAATTGATAATATCTGATATCTAAAGTTTTGAATAATCTCGATAAATTTCATTGAAATATTTTTTCAGGTGGCTGTACAACTATCCCCAATATTGCTAATGCCCAGAAATTGACCAATGGCAACGTGTTCACAGAGGGCAGCAGTGTCACATTTGGTTGTGTGACAGGGTACATCCAAGATGGTGGTAGTACATCACTTGTCTGCAATGGTGGAACTTTTCAGGGAGAACAGATTGTTTGCATACGTAAGTTGATTTACATGAGCTGCAGACATTATTTATTCATCACTTATCTTTGATTGTGTATTTTTTGTCAAAAATGACTTCTCTTTATTTTTAAAGCACTTGAAGGCTCAAACAAAATAATGATTCTTTTTATATTGGGTTTGAGAACCAAATCAATATTCAGTACTTTTTCAGAAATGGATCGAGTCTTTTGAGGGCGTCTTCCCTATTGTTTATATGTCAATAAAACACCATATACGATACAATTCCCATAATTCTCTTTATGAGTAAATTTTTAAATTTGATTAATGAATTAATGAGTACCATTCATGCATACTCTGTATCGCTTTCAGCTGCCACTGTAAGCTGTAGCACAGAGCCTCCCACTGTGACCAATGCCAGAGTCATTAAGAGTGGCGCCCCCTATCCAGATGGCGGCACTGTGCAGTATGAGTGCCAGGCCAAATACGTGAAAACAGGGGGCAGCACTAGTCTCACCTGTAACCGCGGCAACTGGGTTGGAGACAGGATTGTATGTGCAAGTATGTGATTACTTCTTGCTTGTCCCAAGACTATAGACAATAGTGACTTGAGTGAACATTCTGACAATATTGCAATTCAGAAATATTATACTATGAACGTTTTAAATTTTTTTCACGCATTTATTTCTTCATTTGCATTTTCAACTTATAATCTATCACTTTCTTTTTACAGAGGGATGCAGTGGAAATCCACCAGAGATTCCCAATGGCAATGTGTTCAGCAGTGTGCCGCCATATTTGGAGGGTGCACAAGCAACTTACTTTTGTAACAGTGGCTTTGTGGTGGCCAGTGGAGACATAACACTGCGATGCACAGATGGTAGATTTACAGGAACCATTCCTCAATGTAGACGTAAGTGTCTCTAATTGAACTTGGATTTTTTAAAATAACCAAATGAAAATGTCAAATTATATGTCCGAAAAAATATTTTTTTAAACTAGCAGACAATGTTTAAGGTATTTATGAAAAATTAGATATGAATGTTTTCTTTCAGTAGTCTCAAAAAAATTATTTAGTCTTTGACAGAATAAAATGAAAACTCCTTAATATCACACTCCTCATTTTATTACCTGTAGCCACAAATTTAATCTATTTTATTCCATATTAATAAATTAAGAAATTATTTCACATTGATTTCAGCTGGTTGCCTACAGGCTCCCCCTACAATACCCAACACGGAGCAGAGTGGATCTGGACCCCCATACCTAGAGGGCACCTTAACCTTCTACACCTGTGCCACGGGGTACATTAAGGTCCAGGGAGATGACCGGCTGACCTGTAGAAGTGGACAGTACGTGGGAGCTCCACTGATATGCGAATGTGAGTACAGTATTTATTCTGAAGTTTCAGATACCAAGTATTTCATTCTTTTTAGGATTTAAAGTCATGAAGTTTATTACTCACACAGTTGTAATTTCTAATAGTTTGAACCAATTTCAGTTTTTTTTCTTAAAATATCAAATCTCCATTTTTGGGTATAGTTCAGCTAATACAAAAAATGTATTATATTATCAGTGTTAAACATGTTTGATGGGCAATAATTTATATGATGTGTGATTTGATTAAGTTTGATACTGTCCATATGAAATCCATCCTTAAGAATATAATTTTTAAGGTTGCTTAAAATTGATAATTACATTTCAATTGTTGATTGAGATATGATCTCTTCTTCCAGCTGGGTGCCCCGCCCCTCCACAGGTAAACAATGCAGAGGTGGCACTCCCCCCAGGGGGTCTATACCAGGGCACTGTGGTGACGTATTACTGCAGTGATAACTATGTACAGACTGGAGGAAGTAAGACACTGCGCTGTGAGAGAGGAAACTGGACAGGACAGAGAATTCAGTGTAGTTGTAAGTGTGAATAAGTATTCATGCATATGTGGGGATGGCTAATAGCAATTAAAATACTGTTCTAAGTTTGGCATTGTGATGTTGAATTGGAATTAACATTAAAATGTGGGTGCAGATTCATTTAGCATTTATTTTTGCAAATAAATATGAGTTCATCTTGATATTTTAAAAAGTCTAAATTATATTATTTTTTATATGACAGTTCATGGTTATTGTTATTTTCTATAGCTGGCTGTGCTGGTTCCCCAGAGGTGGTTCCAAATGCAGAATTTACCACTACTTCATCAGAACCTTACCTAGAGGCTGCCGTCTTGACCTACTCCTGTGTCAGTGGCACTGCCAAGATTGGCGGAGCTGAGCAACTTGTCTGCCGCAGTGGAAAATTTACGTGGAATCAGGGTGGCGCTCTAGTGTGCCAGGGTATGTATTGATTACTATTTTGGATTATCACATCCAAACACAATCAGTCCCAAACTCAGTCACATCCATGCACAACTAACACAATCACATTCCTGGCACAACTAACACAATTATCAGATGACTTTGAAAAAGGGTGTTTTTTATAGAAAGTTTCAAGACATATGTGCAATCAAGCTAAAAATTTAATTATCAATATGCTGATCATTCATGTCCATGAAGATGACTTTAAAGCTACATTTATCATTCAGATTTTTATAAGTTGGGTGCAAAGATAATGAAAATAAGTAATCCTTAGAATTTAAAAACATTGTATCTTATTACAGCTGGTTGCCAGGGAGCACCTCCCACCATACCACGTGCTACTCACAATGGTGCAGGTGGTCCATACCTACAGGGTACAGCAATTACGTACACATGCAACAGTGGATTTGTTGCCAATGGCGGCAGTCGCACTCTGACTTGTCGAGGAACAACTTTCCAGGGAGAGCCTTTACAGTGTGCAGGTGATGAGATATTTTGTATGTTCTTTGTCAGAGAGAGAGAGAGAGTGAGAGAGACCAAATGGTTAATAGTATATGGATAAAGATACTTTTGAAGTTTAAGAGTAGGTGACCTCTAGAGAGTTTAATTTTTCACTTTTATTTGGCAAAAATGATGTCACACCATTAGTCACATAGGACACAACCATTTGTCTCATCCAACAGTCAAATATTGCACCTAACACAATAATTTCTTCATTTCCAGCTGGTTGTGAGAGTCAACCCCCTTCAGTTCCCAGGACAGTCAATAACGGCGGCAGTGGACCATATCTAACAGGACAAGTTGTCAGCTATAGCTGTGCCGCAGGTAACGTGGCAATCTCGGGAGATCGTGACCTCAGGTGCAACAATGGACCTTGGGTGGGAAACAGGCTGAACTGTCAATGTAAGCATCAGCTCTTGTGACTTGACCTTTTTATGAAATGAGTAAAATTTTATATCAGATTTGTTTTTAAGCAACTATGGAACTGATGAATGAAGATGTGATATATTCGTAGGAGAATATAAGTCTGTGAATTATTTGTTCCCAACTAGTAAGGGACCTGTATTTCTAAAAGCAAACTTCTTTAACAGCCATGTGGTAGTAAAATATGATAGAAAGTACAGTAATGAATGAAAATCAGAATACATGTATAAATAACATTATCCATTCTTCAACAGCTGGTTGTAGTCAGAGCCTCCCAGAAGTCCTTGGCGGTGGCTATGTGGCCCCAACAGGTCCAGTGACGCAGGGGACACAGATCACATACAACTGCAGCCAGGGGTTTGTACAGGTGGCGGGTTCGTCCTCGCTGATCTGTAACAATGGAGTCCTGCAGTGGCAGGGGGGAGAGCTGCAGTGCCGACGTTAGTATATATCTGTTAAAATGTTGCTGTGCACAGGGGCAGGCCCGTAGCCAGCAATTTCAAAAGGGGGGTTCTATTTCTGAAAAAGTGGACCTTTTCCCATAAAAACTTCATGTACCTAGATCAAATTTTACCCAGAGTGGACCTTTCCCAGCAAAAGGGGTGGTTGTTTCGAACTCCCGAAACCCCCCTGGCTACGGGCCTGCAGGGGTTTATTTATATGTTATGCATTTTTTGTAACTAACATGTATGTATGTTTTGAGCTTTATTTACACAGTCATAGAAGTTATCGTTGATAGAAATGTCATGAATTATATACTTATAATTCTGTTTCAATTTGTCTGACAATCATTCCTCTACTGATCAGTTTTTGTGATTAAATTTTGACACAAATATGCTACATAAGCCAGTTATTTGGATAAAACTCTCACTCAGTCTGATAATTTTACTTCTTCATTAGCTGGTTGTACTGAGGTACCCACAGTTCCCAATGCCAGGGTGAGAGCAGCAGCGCCACCTTTCAGACAGAACTCCTTGGTCTTGTATGAGTGCAACCCAGGCTACATTCAGACTGGTGGCTCCATCTTTCTCTCCTGTAACAATGGACAGTTTGTTGGACAAAATATAGTCTGTGAACGTAAGAAGAATCTTGACTTTTTTGGCATATGTCACTTTATTGTGAAAAGCATTTGCTATTTTGAGACTTGAAACATTAGTTTTGTTTTTGGGCTTTTGTAAATCAGAGAACTCTAGTACTTTTGCGTTTAAACATCGATTTTATAATTTGATCCTGTTTCCTTGTACAACAAAGACATTCCCAATATTTACATATTTTAAGTAGAAATGTTCATGGAGATAATTGATTTACTTTTAAAAAATTCATTTCAAATCATCATTTTTGCACCAATTTTCACTTCTCTTTGTTTTAAAAAACTAGTTTTCTTGATAATATCAACTGATGAATCATTAATATTCCATTTCATGCAGCTGAAAAAATAGAATGTATCAGAGAGCCGCCATTGGTGGCTAATGCTGTCAATAATGGAGCAGGAGCACCTTATGCAGATGGCGCCACTGTCACCTATAGCTGTGCTGAGGGCCACGTCAAAGTGGGTGGGGGCTCGGAGTTGACATGCAGTAGGAATGAGTTTTTAGGCACCAGGATTCAGTGTGCATGTGAGGAACTGCTGAAACAAACTTAATTATTTCCAGTCCTTATTTTGCTGATTATTTTGTAACTGTTTCATTAGTTAATTTTATTTTCATCTTGGGAAATTTTCATTTTTAAACCATTTTGTCTTTAGACATGTGATTAAAAAGTAAAGTAACTTTAAACCAGCCTAGTTGAACTGAATTATTCAGCAAAAAAAAATAATAATAAATAATTAAAAAGCATTTTTGTCCAATTTCCATTCATAGCTGGCTGTAAGGAAGGACCATCTGTGGGTCAGAATTCAAACCGTAACCTTGGTGCAGCACCATATCTAGAGGGAGCCACAGCTCGTTACTCCTGTATCTCTGGTTATGTCCCCGTCAGTGGCCAGACCTCCCTCACATGTACCAGTGGGACATTCCGTGGAGATCCACTTGTCTGTAGACGTAAGGTTTCCAAATGGAGGAAAATTATATAAAATGATTGCTGCATTTTCCCCTCACATACTTAAATGTTAGATTTGTGACTGAGTATTAGATTGAATTCAGTATAATTTGCAATGGCATGAACACTATTGCCAATTTTTTAGAGATATATATATTTCAGTCTTTTGTCTCTGAAAAATGTGTCTTGGATTAAAGTATTGCCATAATAATCATAAATGAATACTTTATGAATGTCCTCAAATTTTAAATTTACATAGAAATAATGAGAAGAAAATTTTCCCTAAGTAACTTTGCTGTCTATAACATTATGGCTTGTCTTGTCAGGTGGTTGTAGTGGAACGCCCCCTACACCTCCGCTGACCAGCCATGACAGGACAACAGGACCCTATCTCCAAGGAGACATCATCACCTACCAATGCTTGCAGGGAAATATCAAAACATCTGGTGACACCCAACTTCGTTGTGATGGAGGGAATTTTGTCGGCCAAGCTCTTGTTTGTGAAGGTAGTTAAGATTCCTTGTAGTTTGTCATTGGATTTGAGCTTGAATAATAGAAATGGAATTCTCTCTTTTTTATAATTAGTATATTAAAGTGAACCAAATATATATTCAAAAGATTTAGATGCTCTTAAAGAACACATAAAATTATAAAGGAAATCTTTTCTACACATCAGGTAGTGGATGCAAGGTTCATCAAACATAATAGACTTTCCACTCATTGCTTTAAATTTTTTATCTTTTATGTTTGCACATGTTGAACATGTCTTTCTTTCTTAGAATTTGCAATTTTAATGTATAAAATACATAATATTAAAAGAATTTCCCTTGTTTTTTCCCAGCTGGCTGTTCAGGCAGCCCTCCATCTGTGATCAATGCAGACCTGAGTGCAGGCTCAGGCCCCTACAGGGAGGGTTATGTGGTAACCTACTCCTGTGCCACGGGGTACCTCCAGACTGGAGGACAACGCTTCCTCACCTGCCGCAGTGGCTCCTTCCAGGGAGAGAGAATACGCTGTCAAAGTAGGTCAAGTAGTAGGCTGTATGGGAATGATATTGTTGCAGAATTCCCTTAACAAAGATACGCAATAGCACATCCTTCACTTCCGAAATTGTGCTCAACTTCAGTTTAACCTCAATTAATACAGTTGTACCTTTCTACATCCCTCTATCTGTTCATCCATCCATCTATCAACATTCATCAACCTTTATATAGTGCAAAACAAAAACTCAACACTGGCTTTATAACATTAATTTTCTCTAAACATACAGAAACAGAAATAAACTACAGCCAAGCACTGTAAATTACTTAGGATAAAAAAATAACGGAAATACAGTTCACAGTGTATTGATAGTACAACAATTGAAAAAAAAAGTTACTGTAGTAATCACCACTAGCACTGGATTAATCCTTTCTCTTTCACCTTCACAGGTGGATGTCCCAACCAACCTCCCCAGATCCCCAATGCAGCCATGTCAGGTGTGATCAGCCAGCCATTCTTACAGGGCAGCACTGTCAGCTATGTGTGTAACCTGGGCTATGTGTCTGCCACCTCCAGCTCTATGTCCATCACATGCCAGCAAGGACAGTGGGTGGGCATGGAGAGTATTAGATGTCAAGGTAATGTGTTAGGTGTGACAGTGTATTAGGTGTGACAGTGTGTTAGGTGTGACAGCAAGGACAGTGGGTGGCCATAGAGAGCATTAGATGTCAAGGTAATGTGTTAGGTGTGACAGTGTGTTAGGTGTGAGAGTGTGTTAGCTGTGACAGTGTGTTAGGTGTGACAGTGTGTTAGCTGTGACAGTGTCTTAGTTGTGACAGCAGGGACAGTGGGTGGGCATGAAGAGTATTAGATGTCAAGGTAATGTGTTAAGTGTGACATTGTGTAAGATGTGACAGTGTGTTAGGTGTGACAGTGTGTTAGGTGTGGCAGTCCATTGTTCTGGGCTTAATTAGCCTAAAACAGTTTAGCCATTCCTTTTTCAAAATATGAAATGGGTAAAAATTTGTGACACTTGAATGTAATTTTATTTTGAAAATCATTTTTGAAATAATAATAGCTGTTTTTTATCAAAACTAAAGATGATATTGGAAAAAAAATAGACTAATCAGTGTTCATGATCATTATTATGGTATTCTCAGCCACACATGTTACAAATAACATGATGTTATATCTCACTCCTCCAGCTGGATGTAGTGACAGTCCACCCTCCATCCCCTTCGCCACCCACAATGGCCGCAACGAGTCATCCGTCCAAGGTACCAGGGTCACTTACACGTGTCGGAATGGATTTATCGCAGTGCGTGGAAGTCGAGTCTTAATGTGTGGCAGCAGTGGAGGTTATGAAGGCGAGAGACTGGTCTGTCAACGTAAGTGATTTTACGAATTATAAGTTAAAAGGAAACATTTAGTTAACACTGAATTGAAGTTAGCAAAGAGTTAAGCATCCATTAAATATTGTATTTCTGAAATTTTTTATGGTATATGAGCTAATTGTTGCCACGAAAACAAATACATCAAAGTTATAGTTTTCTTTAAAGTAATGTATTCAAAACACACTTCTAGCTGGGTGCGATAACGAACCGCCATCAATATTTGGAGCAACTAACGATGCCAGTGGTGCCCCCTATCAGCAAGGTCATAGAGTGAGGTATTCCTGCACCACGGGCAATGTTGCTATCAATGGCAGTGATGTTCTTACCTGTAATGCTGGCACATGGGAAGGCCAGAGACTACAATGTAGACGTAAGTTCAGTGTTTTCAAGGAGTATTTCACTTTAAATTTTAATTATAAGTGCAGCAAGTAGCATTCTGAGATGTATGAATAGGTTTGTGGTTTTTATTTATTTTTCTAGTTTTTGTTCTGTTCCATTTTTATTGTTTTTTTTTTGTTTGTTTATTTAAATTTATTTTACATAGTCAATTTTTGATTTATATCCTAATAATCATTCCAAAAATCTTGTCTTTATTATGTTTTTAGATGCCTTAATTTATCTTCTTATTAATAATATTTTTTTTACTCAGCTGGTTGCTCCCAGAATCCACCTTTCATCTTTGGTGCCTCTTTCGTGGTCCCCGGGGTACCCACCCAGGGGTCAACTGGCCCCCAGGGATCAAGCGGTCCACTAGGACCTGTGTTACCTGCCTATGTCCTGCAGGGCACACAGATTCAGTACACGTGCGACACAGGAAGAGTGCGTGTCTCCGGCTCCCTCACACTCACATGTGATAATGGTATATATGTTGGAGAGAGGATAAAGTGTGAATGTAAGCAAAAATTATTTTTTTATTTTTTATTTATGTATTGATTAAGTTATCATGTGATTAAATCCAGGTTTCTTGAATTAAAAGGTGATTTGAATATTTTGTTATCAATTCTTCAAAGGTATGTTATTTTATGTATTTTATATTAAAACAATTGGTGTTTTTATCATAAGTTAAAATAATAAATTTCAATAAATATGTTTTGTTTCTTAACAATTGTTTTGTCATTTTTAAGAAAATTATTGTTAAATTAGTGCCCGTTTTTAATTGGTAAAATGAGTTTATGCCTGTTTCCAATCAAACATTAAATTTACAGTGGGCTGTGTGAGTGCACCTGTCATCCCCAATGCTGTTATCAGTGTGGGTGAGGCACCATACCTACGAGCAGAGACCGTCACGTTTGCATGCGCCGAGAGATACATCAAGTCAGGAGGACAGGAGACACTGGTGTGCGGACGCAATGGTTTTGAGGGAGAAAGACTTCAGTGTGAACGTAAGTTGATGGAGCTTTGACAATCATGTTCTTTTGAATTACGAACAAATTGGTTTTTGGGGGGTTTTAGAGCAGGATTTATAAGAGTTTTAGTTATGAGGACATTGCACCTTTTGATTCTACTTGGATTTTGTGTGGTGAATTTAGGCCCAGAATTCCATGCCATCCATTTTTATTTATTCTTTGGGAATTCACAAAATGTAAGGCATTCATTATCCTGTCTACCATTATTTACAAAACAAACTAATGGTGGCTGTCCTTGTTCATCATTTCAGCAAAAATTGTTGGTTGCTACCAGGAGCCTCCCTCTCCAGCCAATGCCGTCAGCAGTGCCACAGGATCCCCGTATGCAGAGGGCGTTGCTGTCACCTACAGCTGTGCCACGGGTTACGTGAAGATCAGCGGAGACAGCAGCTTGACTTGCCGTAATGAGCAGTGGCAAGGAAGTAAAATTGTGTGTAGAGGTAAGGGTGAGCAGAGAGGGTCAGTTTACCAGAATTATTCATTTCAGCCATCTGTCAATTTGATAGGTTTGTAGCTTATAGCATATAAAGGTATTATGTATCTATATATATCACAGTGCAATCCACTTGTCACATTTAACCCAAAGACTTTTCTATCAAAATATCAAACCCGTCATTATTTTCATGTTATCTCACCCAATACATCACAGTGCCTCACTTAGCACATTCACTTAATGTATCACCAAAATGTTATCGCAATATCTCACCTAACACATTATATATTATATCTCATTCCAGAGGGCTGTCCCTCCAACCCACCAGATGCACCCTTCGCCACATATCAAGCTGGCTTTATCCCTCGTCTTGAGGGCAGTGTTGCCACCTATACTTGTGTACCTGGTACAATCCAGGTGGGCGGGGACAGGGTGCTGGAGTGTATTGATGGACAGTTCAGGGGGCAGCTGATTCAGTGCCAAGGTTTGTATGGAAATTAAAAAACTTATTACAATTGACATTTATTGTGAAAGACACATTTTACACTGACTGTGATAATTTCTAATTTGAGTTTTTTTTTCTATTTTAGTGATAATGATAACATATTGTGTAAAATGATATCCAGCAGTTGTTTGGACCTTGTTTACCACAAATATACATATTGACCAGAAAAAGATATGAATGTGATCTAGTCTGTAAATATTCTTCATGTTTATAACATTTTTGTGTAACAATTAAACAGATACAGAAATAATTCAAAGACAAGTTCGAAATCATTTCTAGCTGGCTGTGGGAATCCACCCTCTATCACAAATGCCATTACATCATCGAATGGCCCCTATACTGAGGATTACATCGTGACCTATCGCTGTGCAGAGCGTTACATCCAGACAGGTGGTGACAGTAACCTGCGCTGTCAGAGAGGAAGCTACATAGGCCAGAGGATTGTTTGTGAACGTATGTGTAGTAAAGGATTAGATTGTTAGACTTATTGATGATATAATATTAATTCCTCAATATTTTTCTAAGCTTATAGTACAACTGATATTGTTTTTAAGGGAATATGATAATCTAATTTTTTATTTTAATGGAACTGTAGGTTATATTTATTTATGTGAACTAGTTTTACCTGTAATTAAGTAATCACTTAAATTGTAAGTTGTACATCAATCCATCACTTTACTAAATTTTTTGTGATAACAATTCAATTTGTCAGTTGTTTTTATAATAAATCCATGTTTATGGTATTTTACAGCTGGTTGCCTTGGCAACCCACCTGAGGTTCCATTCGCTGCCCATGACATTGTGTCTCCTCCATATCGCAGTGGGCTGACGGTCAACTATGGGTGCACCACAGGGTACGTGAGGGTCAGAGGCGACACCTCCCTCACCTGCAGGAACGGGGTATTTGAAGGCACTGTTATTGACTGTAGAGGTCAGTACTGTTTTTTATCACATTTTTTTCATTATGTATATTTATGAGTTGTGATAGTTGTAGTTATTATTCAAAAGTAAATTTGCTACAGACAGTGATATGTTTCATATTATCCAAAGCTAAATTTGGTTACAATTATAGCAAAGTCAATGAGCCCAGCAACACACATCTGCTAAGTTATCACCACAGAAATTATTGTACAACTTGTATTTAATGTATAGTAATGTAGCCCTTAATGTCACACCCAAACACAATCATGTCTAACACAATCTTCCTACCTGTATTCCAGCTGGCTGTGCTGGTAGTCCACCTACCATCCCTAACGCAGAGCTGCTGACTGTTGGACAAGGACCATTCCTAGAGGGAGACACTGTACGATATGGTTGTAGCTCTGGTCGAGTGTCAATAGGTGGCGATGCTGTTCTCAGGTGCAGAAATGGCATCTGGGAAGGCAGACGCCTACAGTGTGATGGTAGGTTCTTTTTGGCTTTATCAATTTAGATTTTCCTCAAACTTTTTGATAGTTTATTGTTTACAAAATTTCTTTTACACTTGATTGGTAGAACCTGTAATAAAAATAATTTATACTAAAAATAAAATCCTAGAAAAGGAATTTGATTTTCTAATGCCCATACTGAACTCATTTTAATAATTAACTATTTTCATGTTTGTGAAATTTTAAACAATTTGCAAAAAAAAAAAAAAATAGACATTTAAAAAAAATTTGGCTCTTTTTCAGTTGGCTGCCTCCAACAGCCTCCCAGTGTTCCCAACACCAAGCTGGTGGCGGCCTCTAGTGGGCCGTATCCCAATGGCGCCGAGGTGGAGTATAGCTGTGTGGACAACATGGTCATGGTGTCAGGCAACAGAATGAAGTCTTGTAATGGCGGAGAGTGGGTCGGCGCCTCCATGGTCTGCAGACGTGAGTGGAAGGAATTTAGAATATGGAAGCAGATTTAGGCTGTGAACATATGTCTGTTCTGGAAAATGGGTTAGAATAATCCAGAATGACTTACTGATTTCGATGTCAGCCTGCATCTGTTAAGATTAGCATATCGAATTTTTATTTTTCTTTTGTGTTACCTTGTGTGGTAGCACTGCAGTTTACAACTGTTAATAAGAAAACTGTTCATTCCAATTAAAATCTGGTTTTTTGTCCATATAAAAAATGGCCAGGATATTTGTTTCATTGCCTGCACTGATATTTCTGCTTTAGACTTTCATCAAAGTATATCAAGTTTTATACACCTATCATATATGATACATTTGAAATAAAGTAATCAACTTGCTATTCATTCTGTATTTTCAGCTGGTTGTTCAGCATCTCCCCCTGTTGTGGCAGGTACCACAAACGATGCAAGTGGCGGCCCCTATGAACAGAATTCTGTGGTGACGTACTCGTGTAATTCTGGCACTGTACAGACAGGTGGTAACGCCGCCCTGGTGTGCGGGAGTGACGGCGAGTGGGCGGGGTCTCTTATTATTTGTGCAGGTCAGTGTGCCCAGAAGTTTGACAGTAAAGACTCGATGTTTTTAAAGGGGAAATTTGTGAATTTTAAAGAGCATGTAACATGCTATTTTAAGTCTTGAATTCTTAAAATTGGAACATTCCTATTGAGTGGTAGCAACAAAACTGTAAGGCACCACAAATGCTACACAGAAATAAATATTTTTGTGATAATGATAATGATAATGAACCTTTAACTTGACAGTAATTATTTAAGATTAATATGAGTCCAGTAATAGATTAACCTTCATGTAAAACATGACAGGATGACTAAGTATTAACTATGTTGTGCAACAACTTATTTATTCATTCATTCATTTATATCAGCTGGCTGCACTGATGCGCCCCCTATAGTACCACGTACTACCAACAATGCAGGACCAGGACCGTATGTTAATGGGGCCAGCGTGACCTACTTCTGTGCCAGGGGAAATGTCGCTGTGCGTGGGGACGCCACATTGACTTGCCGAGATGGGAATTTTGTAGGAAGACATCTTGAGTGTGAACGTGGGTATTTACTGTATAAAGTGACATTGTTATACTGAATTTTGTTTGAAATTAGTATATGGTAGAAGAATTCAACTGTTGTTCAAGTTTCTTCAACATGTTTCTGATATTAAAGTTTACCTATTGTGAGAAACAATTTCTTTATTTAAAGCAATATTGTGTATTTGGATGTAAAGTTCCCTTATTTTCTAGTATTGCACTGGTATGTATGCATAAATTTATCATTTTTATCATTTTAATTGACATACCAAATACCTACTAGTTTTTTCTGTATCCATATTTCCATATATTAAATGTAAAAATTCAACTGTTCAACATTAGCTTAAATGATCATAATTGATAATATTGTAGCTGGCTGTGCTGATATGCCCCCTGATGTCCCCCTGTCTGTCTACCTGTCCTCCCAGTCAGGTGTCTACCTGGAGGGGCAGCAGGTTACTTACCTGTGTATTAGTGGGACTATTAAAGTGTTTGGAGGGATCCTCACCTGTAGAGGAGGGGTGTACGAGGGAGAGAGGATTGTCTGTCAAAGTAAGAAGTTTGTTTATATTCATTTATGAAATGTTGTATGGAATTTTAATGTTGTTTCGAAAAGGTATATGAAATGATTATTTTCTTTAAGGGTGTTTTATTTTTTTTTCATTTGTATTTTATCCTTGGTAATTAATGTTTTAATAGTAAAACACAATAATTAATTTTTTTACTTCTTAAAAAGTACATTAAAATTAAGATTTTATTGTTATTATTTATGGTATTATTTTCTTATTACTTGATTAAGACTGAAGTGATATTTTGTGAACATCAAGAATTATGTCAGTTAGTTTCATTAAATTTAAATAAAATTATGATTTCATTTTAAGTTTCATGTGGACAATTTTGTCAAAAAATTCTTTCTACAATTTTCACAAAAAACATTTCCAGGAGGATGTTTGCAGTCTCCTCCAACCATCACCAATGCCATCTTGGAGACTGAAAGCAACAGAATTGTAGAGGGCACTAAGATCAGTTACAGATGCCGGGAAGGATACATAAAGATAGGTGGCGACAGTGAGCTGACATGCAGCAATGGTGAATTTGAGGGAGCAATGATTGTCTGTGCAGGTATGGAATATTTAATATAAAATTCACAGTCAGTAGACAAAAATGTTGTCTTATAATTAGGTAATAATGTTGGGTATGCAAGCTCCATTTGTGCCTCCAATAAGGTTATTTATGACCACTGAAGCAAATTTTGAACAAACGGGACTTTTTGTGACCTTCAAAGCACATTTTGAACAAGAAAGTGTTTTGTATCTGTCAGAAGATGAAGGAATATTGTTTTGTTGTTAGTTTAATAAAACTAGACATCAACTAAGTAAACTGTAATCATTATTCTTATAAATATTTCAGCTGGCTGCACTGGGGCACCCCCTTCACTTCTCTATGCTACACACAATGGTGTCGCCCCCTACACCGAGGGTGAAGTTGTTACATACAGCTGTGTTGATGACGCTCGTCAAACTGGAGGAAGTAATACTCTGACCTGCCAACAGGGGGAGTTCAGGGGCACAAGGATTGTTTGTACAAGTAAGCAACTTCTTTCTTTCTAGCTAATAGTGAAAGTGTGTAAGAGTTAAAAATAAAGTTCCTGTATTTGATACAGTGTTTTAAAAGGGAAAATATCAGGAAAAAAGTAACATTTTTTCTTGTTTTCCTCTCTTTTTACCAGTTTCTCTCTCCATTTCTGAAATTTAAATAATAATAATTTATTATGCATTTGATTTATTTTAATTCCAGAGGACACTATCCCAACAAACACATGCTCAATGCCACCTAGTGTGCAGTTTGCAGTGCATAACGCAGAAGGCAGCCTGTTCACAGATGGCGCTGTGGTCACCTACAGCTGTGTGTCAGGGTATCTCCAGATTGGTGATGATACTGAACTGACATGTAGAAATAGACAGTGGGTTGGCACTCTTATACAGTGTGAAGGTATTAACTTTCATCTATTTTAATCAAATTTTTATTGTGTGTCTTGGTATGTGGTTTGAGGTTCCTTTGGTTATGTTTGCATGGTCCCATATCTTTATGCATATCTCTTTTGATGGATGGATTTGGAATTCCAAGAACAAAGTAATTTTTAAAAACAGGGCACATAACCTCCCCAAAAACAAAGTGTTCCTCTATTTTTCACGGATGGATTGGTGACTGTTTAACTTACGGATACCATGGCTTGGTCTTAATGTGACTGCGAAAGTTTTATCTGATACCTCCCATAAACAAAACAACTGGATTATTTATTTATTTATTTATTTATTTATTTCCAGCTGGCTGCATAATGACCCCTCCCAATGTGATCAATGCAGTATTCACGGTGCCCTCCTCTCCCTATGTGGAGGGTATGAGGGCCAACTACACCTGTACTGATGGTTATTACAGGGCCAGTGGAAGCTACAACTTACTGTGTTCTGGAGGCTCTTGGGTAGGACAGAGGATAGTGTGTCAGCGTAAGTACTGCTCTGTCCTTGGATATGATATAGCAGGTTTGAGTGATAATGCTATGTAAGTCAGCCAGTCAGTAAAGTTAAACTCTATAACTGGACTTTCATTGCAGTCCAGCTTATGAGGTTGCATCTCTCTCAGAGACTTCCTCTGAGATGGACTGAAATTTCTGACAGAGAGAGAGAGAGAGAGAGAGAGAGACAAAATGTCTATTAAACAAAATCTAAGCCAGTTTATATATTACAGATAAATATTTAGATTCAATTAAGTTATTCAAGCAATACAGTCAGTAAAATGAAAAAAAAACAATTTTCAATGTATCACTACAAGTGGATGAATCTTGCTGTAACGCATTATTGACATTTCTTGATTCTATCATTTAATCTGAAGAATATTATTATTTCAGCTGGTTGTAAAAAGGCCCCCAGCATCCAACACACCATCAGAACTGGAGATGGTCCCTATAACAATGGCTACTCTGTCAGCTACACATGTCAGGCAGGATTCATTGAGACTCACGGTTCTAGAGTTCTGACATGTCAGAATGGAATCTGGATGGGAGAGCTGCTGGTCTGCCAGGGTGAGTGGGATTGTGTTTGGTGTGAAATTGTCATGGCTTATTGTGTTGGTTGTGCTACTTGTAGGCAGGATGATTTTGACATTTCTTGTGTTAGTTTAGATGTATTCCTTAGGGTGGGTTTTTGAAGTTTGTTTTCTATGGTTATGTGATATTTTACCACTTCTTGTAGTTTTAATGTGAAGTTTTACAATTTTTTCATGAATGTTTATTTTAGCCAAGTATTTAATTACTACATAATCAGTTAAACATTGGCTGGTTGTTTGATTTGGTCTGAATTGAATTTCAAGAGAGGATGATGTTAACTATAAAATATAATGTAATTGTTTTTTCTGTTTTAATTAACTTTTAATAAAATTTTAGTCATATTTTGAAAACTTTCAGCTGGGTGCTCAGGTCCTCCCCCCAGCATTGCAAACACTGTGTTAGTGTCAGTGTCCACGCCATATGTAGAGACCACTATCGCCACCTATAGGTGTGCATCTGGATACCAAAGGAGTAGGGGCAGCTTCACATTGGTTTGTAGGAACAGCAACTGGCAGGGGGCACTGTTACAGTGCACAGGTAACTGAGAAATTCAATATAGATTGATGAATGATTATAAAACATACTTCTTTTCCTTGTTTCTAATGTGGTTAGCAGTTTTTTGAAATGATATGATATTTAAAAATATTTGTGCCTATGGTGTCATTTTACATTAAATTTAAAGTGCATTTTAATCTGACATGTTGCCTAGATATTTTCATGATTTAGACTTTTGTATTGTTATGAATGATTGGTATCATTTATTTATGTTTATAATTTTTACAATCTATTAAAAGGTGCAGACACAGATAGTTGCAGTGAACCCCCCTTCGTCACTGGAGCAACCAATGATGCCACTGGTGCCCCCTATGCACAGGGCCAGCTTGTGCGCTATTCCTGCACTGCTGGAAATATACCAGTAGGTGGCGCTGAGGTGTTGCGGTGCCAGTCTGGTGCATGGGTAGGAGACATTCTACAATGCCAAGGTATTTTAGTTCTTTTCCTAATGTATATATTTTTGCTGGGGTGTGGTAGGGTGTATTGGCTAATATCACAAAACCAAGTTTTAAGAGCATTAATATTGGGAGAACATACAATCTCATGATAGTGGTCCAAGGGGATGGTATCACTTAAGTTTTTTTAGACTAAAAGTTAAGTCCTAATTTATTGACAAAAGGTCAGTCTACTTGGAATCATGAAAAATATGTGCAGTTGTCCACTTAATAAATGGAGGTTAATCTTGTTCTTAACCAGTAGATATTGATTTGTCACAAAAACCAGGTGCAGTACTCAATAATAAATTTTCTTTCTCAGCGGGATGTGCCGAGCCACCACCTTTCATCTTCGGTGCCACATACGTTGGGGCACCAATCACTGGGATGACAGGACCACAGGGGACCACTGGCCCCCAGGGTCGCCCAGCCCCGCCCTATGTCACCCAGGGGACCCAGATCCAGTATACGTGTGACGTGAGAAGGGTCCAGACTGGAGGGTCCAGTGTACTAACCTGTAACAATGGGAACTATGTGGGAGAGAGGATACGCTGTGAACGTGAGTGGGAGTTTTGGGTTTCTTCAGTGTTGCTTTACTAAGAGATGAAAATCCTCTAGATTTATGTGGACATTTGGGTGGGGAATTTAAGCCTTGTAGACCTCCCAATATATAGTTTGCACCTCTTTGGTGCATGCATTTTCAGGTTTTTTTTAAGTTCACTTTGGTTTTTGTTTTATTCGCTCAGTGTTGCATTTTTTGAAATTGTTCTTCCAAATTCTTCAAAATTTCCTGTTATTTTTCTTCAGACATTTTTTTTTGTTTATTTTGCTCTTTTGTTTGTCTGTCAGTCTGCATCTGTCTCTGTCTGAAGGTCTCTCTTTGTTTTCACATAATCACGGGTTTTTACCTATGATGGTTGTGGTTCAGTTGAGGTAATGATATAGTGCATGTATGACATGCCTTCAAAAAGAGTTGGTCAAAAACTTGATAAGGTAAAGGAGACTGTTAGCAGTATAATTCCCAGGATTGCAATTGTCTTGCTGCTTCTAAAAGTATTGTGCTGTGGTTTAGCATACTATCAAATAACATCAAAAATAATATAATCAGACTTGCATAGGTGAGCGTATTTATTTTGATATTTTATATACCATTAATACATTTCAGTTGGATGTAGTGGTACTCCACCATCAATAGGGTTTGCCGTCCATGATGGTAGTGCCCCCTATAGGGAGGGAGATGTTATTACATACAGCTGTGTTGAGGGAGCGCGTCAAGTAGGTGGCAGTAACTCTCTGACCTGCCTCCAGGGGGCATTCCAGGGCACAAGGATAATTTGTCAAAGTAAGTTAAAAATTTTAAACACTTCTTTTTGTTCTTATGTTACTTTTTTAGAATTTATTATGTTAAGCCATCCATGAAAACAAATAACAAACAAAATTTATGAAAATTATTCTTTTATATTTTCCAGGAAATGTAACCCCAAGCAATCAGTGTTCAGCGCCACCTACAATTATGTTTGCTCAACACAATGGAGTAGGAACTTTATTCACAGATGGTGCTGTTATCACCTACAGTTGTGTTTCATCATATGTCCAGATAGGAGGAGATGCAGAGTTGACCTGCAGGAATAGACAGTGGGTGGGAAGCCGTATTCAGTGCACACGTATGTGTTCATTATTGCCCTGCCTGATTTAGGAGCAGTAGATTATTTTCAATATTTAAGTTGACAAAGGGGTTTATAATCTGTACATCATTAAGATGGGTTTTGATTTTGTTTATATGACACTGCATGTAAATGTTAAACAGAATTTCAAGAAAGAAAAATGTATAAATTTTCTTGTTGTTAATTGTAGTCATTTTCATTCTTATTTATTTAAAACATATTTTTTGTTTATTTTCTTTTGTGTCTCTTTACGTCGTTTGTTTATTATGTATTTGCATATATTTGTCTGTTTATTTATTTATTTATTTATCCATTATTTATCCAAATATTATTATTTTCTTTTGTGTTTCTTTACACCATCTGTTTATTTATTACATATTTGCATATATTTGTCTGTTTATTTATTTATCCATTATTTATCCAATGTTTCCAGTTGGCTGTGTAATGGCACCCCCAGAAATCATGAATGCGGTGTACACCATAGAGCAGGCACCCTATGTTGATGGTATGAGAGCAGTGTACTCCTGTAGTGAAGGCTTCTACAGGGTCAGTGGGAACTACAACTTGTTGTGCTCTGGGGGGTCTTGGACTGGTCAGAGAATAGTGTGTCAGCGTAAGTGTTAAATACCAGATTAGTATCATAATTTAAGGTTCTTTTAAGTCAAAGTGCTCTTTCAGAAATTATTTTGAATCGTTTAAAATGCAGTTCATCATAATGAAATACTTGAGTTTAAAGATCAGGGATGATATTTGTCCAACTATTGGCAGATTTCCTAATTTTTAGAGGCCAAAAAAATTATTTCTGAGATCAATGCAGGTCTGCCATAAAAACGGGGAGAGGGGGGATGTCTGGACTCCATGTGATATTTTTAGACCTTTTCACAAAATGTCAGTCTCATCAAAGGCTCATCAATGTCAATATTTGATTTCAGCTGGTTGTAAAGAGGCCCCCAGCATCCAACACACCATCAGAACTGGAGATGGTCCCTATAACAATGGCTACTCTGTCAGCTACACATGTCAGGCAGGATTCATTGAGACACATGGATCTAGAGTGCTGACATGTGAAAATGGAATCTGGATGGGAGAGCTGCTTGTCTGCCAGGGTGAGTGGGATTGTGTTAGTTGTGACATTGCCAGGGTGATTGTGTAGGGTGAGATACTGGTCTGACAGTAAAGATTAAGTATGAATTCTTGTAACTGCATTCTCATCATTGATTTGGATTGGAATAAGCTTGCTTGTATTTGGAAAAATCTTATTTAGCTTTTGAAATTTGGTCCATTGATGTTGCAACTTTAGCCTGTTTCCTTTCTTAATTAACAATATATGAACACAATTTTGCTGGAGACTGTGGTTTTAATATAATCAAAAGATACACATAGATCCAACTATCTCCTCTGTTAGTATACAGAATAGCCACAGGATGAAAATGCATTGTTTTCTGTTGAAATTTCAGATGGTTGCTTACAACAGCCACCAACCCTGCCCAATGCTATATTATCATCTGTGTCCACTCCATATGTAGAGACTACTATCGCCACCTATAGGTGTGCTCCAGGGTATCAAAGAACTGCTGGCAGCTACATGTTAGTCTGTATGAATAAAAACTGGCAAGGAGCACCACTGCAATGCTCAGGTAAATATGTGTCTCATTTTTAAAAATCAGTTTCTCTATGCATTTCCCAAAAGTCATAAATTCAAAACTCTTTTTCAGAAACTTTTAAGCTCCTAAGCTGACCCAAATTATATATGGCATAAAACCTTAATCAGACTTTGATGCAAAATGGACTTTTTCTGACCAAGAGAGCAGTCCTTTTTTAATTCCCTTGAACCACACTGATTGTGGGCCTGTAACAATAATAACTGAGGGCATGCCAAGACACTATTTATAATAAACATATGCAGGTCAATGTAGTAGTCTACTGACTACGGACTTTTTGTATCTTTCTCATTTGACATACCACTAAAACCTTTGAAGTATCAAATACATTGTGTATATGTAGAGCACATTTTTAGTATCTAGTATGTCCTTAAGGTGTCATATGTTTGTATTGAATATGTGGAACACATTTCTAGCATGCGACTTCATCTTTTCAGCTCTTGGAAGTGTCCAGGGTGTAGGAGTCATAGGCGGCAACACTTTGTCCCCCTTCCTGAATTTCCCAAGCTTCACAAGGCAGCCTCTGGCATTCCCAGTTACAGAGAGCCCACTCACTGTGGGGACCACTGTGGGGAGAAGCTCCACAGGGGCAGGGGCAGGTGGCACAGGTGGAGGAACGACTGGAACTGGTTCTGGTACAGTTGGATCTGGTACATCGGTCTCAGGAACAATTGGATCTGGTTCTGGTGGAATTGGTTCTGGTTCTGGAATGGCAGGATCTGGAAGCATTACTGTAATTGGACCTGGTTCAGGCTCAGTTGGAATTGGCACTGGTTCATCAGGAGGAGGAGGTGGTACAGGAGGAAGTGGAGGTAGTGCAGGTGGCACAACCATCATTGGAGGAACAGGGGGTATTTCAAGTGGGACAACCATCATTGGAGGAACTGGGGGTAGTTCAGGTGGGACAACCATCATTGGAGGAACTGGAGGTAGTTTGGGTGGCACAACCATCATTGGAGGAACTGGAGGTAGTTCAAGTGGGACAACCATCATTGGGGGAACTGGGGGTAGTTCAGGTGGGACAACCATCATTGGAGGAACTGGAGGTAGTTCAAGTGGCACAACCATCATTGGAGGAACTGGAGGTAGTTCAAGTGGGACAACCATCATTGGAGGAACTGGTCAAACTGGCCACTGGCATGTCTACAATGTAAACACAGGTGTTCTTGGTCCACTGCCTGGTCAAACAGATGGGCACTGGCATCTAAATGGAGGTACTGGCCAGACCACTGGTCAGTCACAAGGACAGGCCTCTAGTACAGGACACTGGCATGTGTACAACTACAACAACCCTCCTATTTCAAACAGTGGGGCCTTCGATACCGGGATCCCTGCATTTAATTATGGATCACAATACAGTGGCAGCGGTGGGACGGGCACCTCTGGTGCAGGTGGCACTGGTTACATCTTAGTTGGTACCCCAGGAAATCAGAGGTGGGTGCTGTCTGGCAGTGTGGGTGGAACTGGAGGGTATAATTACTACAGCAGCACTGGCACAGTGAATGGTGGTTACATTGGTGGCAGCAGCGGGACGGGTTACATTGGTGGCACAGGAACTATAAGAATCTACCACAATGGACCTGATGTTGTCCTTGGTGGTACCACAACAGGAGACACTGTGAACAGTGGAACTGGCATGAGAAATGATGGCAACACAGGAAGTGGTTCCAATGAAGGAGGAAGCACCACAGGAGGAAGTGGTTCCTCTGGTTTTCAAAGCAGCACAGGAGTTGTGAGCACAGGAATGATAGGTTTCCGCCCAAGCGGTGGGACAGACCAACCCACTCCAGGTGGAACACAGGGCGAAACTGGGTCAAGTAACTCTAAGCTGGCCAATAGTGTAATAGGTCAAAGCTCATTAAGTGCATTTGGTGTGTTCCCTGGGATGTCCCCCTCTGTCTGGCCAGGGGGGTCAAGTGGTCCAAGGTCAAGGGTCAGCAGGTCAACAGAGACTGAGGTGTCACAGGACTAGACTCTTATAAACTTACATTTATGCTCATTTGTATTTTGATTTTAAGATAAGTGATAAGCTCTGCTTACTGTAGTTGAATGATCTGGTGGATAACATGTAATTTATGGTAACTTTCAGTATTGTGCATTTTCCTAGTCCACTGGGTAGTTCTTAGGACACAGTTGATGTATCTTATTTTGTTCTAGTAAGGGACCCAGAAAAATGTAGCCTACTTGATATTAATAGTCCATTCATTTGAGGATGCTGTAAAATTCAATTGCTGAATCAACAATTTTCCTTAAAGAGCACTTGAACTTGGCATAGTAATACCGTCATTCGTGTGTTTTGAAATCTCCAAATGGTGTTCCTGACTTAAAACATATTATCAATTTTTGTAAAGATAAACATTTTTCAGCATGAAAAAGCCTTAGTAAAAGGGGGTAAAGAAATGTACCTAATAATTACTTATTTCTTTGCTTCGATCATGGTAACTGTAATCACTTCATATCCCAATTTGGCAATAGCGTTGTGTATTTTATGATTGTCTGAATATTTTTGTATGGGCAATATTATTTTGATTATACTGCTTCCCAGAGACACTGATTTTCTGTTTTTTTTTTTATGCATGACTGTGTGTGAGGGAGGAAGATGGGGGGAAAAAAAGGAGAGAGTGTGAGATGAAGAACGTTAAACATAGACTAAATTGTAGTTTATAAAAATAATGGGCGCTTTTCAGAATTTAAACGACAGTTATGTCTCATTTATTTTGCAAATCTTACCTGAGGTCCTCAACGATGCATCAAGGGTTAGGTTACCTTTATCTTCTTCGGGCGGCATTTTTCACGTGAAAAATATTCACAGTAGCCTTTGAGGGGTTTTATTAGGTACTGCATAAGCGGGGTTATCGTCCTGTCCTGAAATACAATACCAATATCAGAGCAGTCATGCCCCTTTATCTGGCTAGTAGATGTTCATGTTATTAAAATGATTAATATGTGTGCTTAAATAAGCATGTGATGGACTTTAAACGCACTCGTGTTCTACTCGGGATGTCTTGTCATTATCTGTTTTAAGGGGATGTAATATAATGCAATACAATGGGTATTACTGAGTACATAACGTATCTGCGGTAAGACGATCTCGTCAGAAATAGCATTATATAATAACGTGCTGATGAACAACCTTTTCATGGCGATGAAGACGGGATGTCAAAGTCCATAAAATATGTAATATCTTAAAGATATTTATTTTTCTAAAGCTAAAAGGATTTTACACAAGTTTTTTTAAAGAAAACGTTAATTCCTATCGTACACCATCTTAGAAGATGGCATTTCTTTGAACAGAAATTTGAATTCTACGTTCCAATAAAAATTGTTTTGCTTACAGGGGCATAATTGTCGGATTTTACTGCAGATACATTTAGATGGCCGCTACTGCTACGAATGGACTCAGTTTGCCTAGTTTGGGTTAGGGGGGGGGGTAGGCACTCTCCTCAAATCCCACCTTCGTAACCGCCAGAGGGTGGGTTTAATTAACCGAAAAAAATCTTGCACAAGTTGTTTTAGTGTGTGAATAAGAGACATGTAATGTTTAAAATGTTTTAACGGTAACAAAAAATGAACAGACGAACGGCTCTTTTTATTATTGAAACGTGTGCCTCCATCCCTTTACAAAATCTTGCTTGTAGGATTTATCAATGTCTCCAGGAGCGTATGCTTGCAACAAGCTTTTGACAAAATGACCTTGTCTTTTGGTGCAACTTTTCACACACACACACACACACACACACACAAACACACTGAAATATATTATCATACCTAAACAGTCATACACTTAGATGATATACATTGATACTGGAAGACGTCATTAATATTTAACCATTAACCTGTACCAGGTCGTGCACTTTGTCTCCCTGTCATTAACTGCCTAGAGGGGGATATAATGTATTGANCATGTTTTCATTTTATCTCAAAATGACAGTTCCACTGCATATGTGCATTAACATATAAATTCCAGAATATTTCATAAACGGCTCCCTGGGCGGGTTAAGGTGGGGGGGGGGGGGGGGGGGGAGGCACTCCCCTCAAATCCCACCTTCGTAACCGCCAGAGGGTGGGTTTAATTAACCGAAAAAATCTTGCACGCGTTTCTTTTTAATAAATTCCAAGTTGTTTTAGTGTGTGAATAAGAGACATGTAATGTTTAAAATGTTTTAACGGTAACAAAAAAAAAAAAAAAAAAAATAGACGAAAGGCGCTTTTTATAATTGAAATGTGTGCCTCCATCCCTTTACAAAAACTTGCTAGTAGGATTTATCAATGTCTCCAGGAGCGTATGCTTGCAACAAGCTTCTGACAAAATGACGTTGTCTTTTGGTGCAATTTTTCTTCGTGTAAAAGAAAATAAGAAGTTTGGGGACGTTCACAGAGAGCAATTTTAGCGTCTATCAACCACACACACACACACACACACACTGAAATATATTATCATACCTAAACAGTCATACACTTAGATGATATACATTGATACTGGAAGACGTCATTAATATTTAACCATTAACCTGTACCAGGTCTTGCACCTTGTCTCCCTGTCATTAACTGCTTAGAGGGGGGTATAATGTATTGAAATAAACAGATATAAGACGACCGCGTCAGTAAATAATACCAGTGTACAACTGACATTTGACGAACAACTTCGACTTAATTACGCTGATGAAGAGACGAGAACGAACCGCTGTACCATAGTTAATGCCGTTTGTACTAAAGGTAAGATATTTTTATCCTACTGCCCACAGTTTAAAAATCTGAAATGAATTATTAATTTTTATCATGTACAATTGTCTCCAAGCCTGTGACGACCTTTTAATGAACAGTAATTGAAAATCTTCGTTTCGTCAAAGGACTGGATTCTTGATATTTCAATATGTTTATGTCTGTATGAGAAAGGTAAGTAAAGTATACTTGTAGTTTTAAATAACAGAAAAATATGAGCCTTCAATAATTTTTTATGGAACTGATACCCATTTCCTTGTATAAAATCAAAAACATCCTACGGGAATTTGTCCAACAGCTTTAAAAATGACCTAAATTTATCTTGCGACATTTTGTTACTAGAAAAAAAAATAATAAAAAGAATGCGCTCCATGAACAACGTTCATATTCTCATATATATTATCATTATCTTGACGGTCGGGGCCCGTTTATCCTGAAAAACTAGTTATACTGATTCTGGTCACCTAGTCAGTTCACTAAAACAGAAATTCGAATTCTCCTCCTAAACACAAAATTGATTTAGTTAGTAGGGTCTGAATTGCAATTCAAAATCAAATAATTTATCGCCTAACTTAAGTAAAAGAAGAAAACTTTTATATATTTCGATTTCATTTTTACATTACTTTGCATTATTACATTACATTATTATGATAATATATACATATACATTATGATAATATATTAAAATATACTTAGCGTTACATTAAGTTTCTGTTATAAGGCGGTCGGGGATTGTTTTTATCTTACACCAATTTAGAAAAGTGTCCCGAATCAATTCTTATGATAATATATTAAAATATACTTAGCGTTACATTAAGTTTCTGATATAAGGCGGCCGGGGATTATTTTTAACTTACACCAATTTAGAAAAGTGTCCCCAAGTCAATTCTGTCTATGATGGCATTTCATCTGAACGGTAACAGGCAACAACCTATAGATTTGGTATTAACAACCCTAGCGTACATGTATATGTATTATATTTCAAAGGTGAAAGTGAATAAATAGATAAATGAATAAGTAGATTTCTTGAACATTTGAATTGGTTTTGATTGTCAGTAGACAATCTCCATCCTATCGGAAATTCCCATTTTCCTTTCACGCGTCAAATACTTTAACTTATTTGAATCGTTTTAAAAAAATTTTATTAGGATATAGCATTCCAGATCCATCATATGAAATATATATCAACTTGACAATATGCATAGTATTGAGAAATATGAAAAAGAAAATAATTTATTTACTGATGGCACATGTACATCCAAACAGCATTAATGGCTGTACACATAAAAGTTTAATTTATTTACGAACTTAAATATTTGCCAATGCCTGTCCAAAGTGGCGAGTTAAAGACCGGTAAGCAAGTGCAGCGTTACGAAGACTTCGAACGCCATTTTTTAATCACAGTTGCAAGTGTTATGGACAGTTTGTTACATTGGCAATTCGCCCATGTGGGAATGCTTTATTTGTTTTGAACTGTATCTTTATCGCACAAACCTTTTTTTATCTATGTAATAAGTCATATATTATATATATCTGTCTATATTGTATCTATGTAACAAGTTATATATTATATAGAAGTTGTTGGTAACATGCACCATACCTCAAATTCTATTATAAAAAAACAACATTGTCATTAAAGGCCCCTTCACACTTATTCGGAATCAGCAGTTATCAAGCAGAATGAGCCGGAATGAAGAATTTTCAAAATTCGCACCACATTCCGGAAGAAATTTCATATTGACCTAAATTATTGTAAGAATACCATTGGAATAATAAGAATGCGCTTGAATCCGCCTGGAATGATTCGTGCACATTTCGGGTGTATTAGCACTCAAATCCAGCTCAAATGTAATTGGATAACTAGGGATATCGATAATGCTGTCAGAATGCAGTCAGAATATTTAAAATACACTTCGAATGCCGTACGAGTGTATTTCGAAATGGCTGAAATAGGATTTCGGCGGCCATCGAGATGCATTTGAGTTGCATTCCGTCTCTTTCTAGAAGGATTTGAAGTGTCTTGCCATTTCGGTTCTCCCTCGAACGCGATCAGAATGTTTTGAATGCTGTTGGAATTAATACTCTAAGAATATTCAGAATACACTCATAGTGCACTTAAAATACACTTAGAATGCCATTCGATATTTCTGCAATTGGAATGCACTTCGAAAGTTTTGAGCATGAGCAAAACATTCCGACTGGACACAAGAATGGGCCCATATATTTGGAATGCACTCAGAATTTTTAGAACGCAATTCGAATATCCAAGAATATACAAAGAATTCTCATTCTGATTACATTCTAGCTCATTCCACGTCTAGTGTGACTAGGGTATTAAGAGTCTTAGGGACCATTCCCCAACCCCATCGTACTAACTGCGGATCGATCTATCTCCGAGGGGATTTTCACTTAATTGCAATCAACTTAAGCGGCTTAGATGTCTGTCATGCCTACTGAAGCTGCTAGGGGGTAATTAATTTATCGATTAGCAGATTCAGTAGGCGTGACAGACATCTAAGCCACTTAAACTGAAAGCAATTTAGCGAGAAACCCCTCAGAGATGGACGGTCCATTTAGATCGATCTAGGTATGGAAACCCAGAATCAGCCGTGGTCCCCAATTCATTAGAGAAACAGATGACGCTGTTTGCTGTTTACAGTAGCTTCTTCAGAGGTCGTATGGTATTCTTAATTGCTAAAACCAGTCTGGTGTCAGTAAGGGCCTTGAAAATGCGTTTTGGTGTCAATTTTCCCCTCATTCTGAAGAGACTGGGAGGTTTTTGTTCAGTAGCAGCAGCATAGCCCGAACGCCAATGAGTCCTGTACCCTGGTGGTAAAATTTTCATACATTGTTAGAGGCCCCTGTGTAGGTTCATCAATCTGGACATGACACTATAAAATTGCAGATTACAGAAATAATAGGCGCTATTTAGAATTGCAAACGCCAGTTCTGTCTCATTTGTTTTGCCAAACTTGCCTGAGGTCTTCAACGGTGTATCCAGGGTGGTGAAATATATTCACATTATCCTTTGGGTGGGGTTTTTATAAGGCACTGCATAAGCGAGGTTATCGCCTGTTGTCCTGAAATATTATACCAATATCAGAGCGTTCATGCCCCCTTTATCTGGCAAGTATGCGTTCATGTGATAAAAATGATTAAAATGTGCTAAAACAATCAAGTGATAGATTTTAAACACGCTCGTGATCTACTTGAGACATCTTGCTATCCGTTTTACGGGGTGGGAGCGCAGTAATGATACAATACCATGCCATTACGTATCTGAGATAAGACAAGTCGTTAGAAATAGAATTCTATAATTACGTGCTGATGAACAACCTTTCCATGCCAATGAAGACGGGATATCAAATGCCATAAAAATCTGTAATATCTTTAAAATATCTAATTTGCTAAAACTAAAAGCATATTTACACTAGTTTTTGTAAAAACGGAAAAGTTAATTCCTAACGTACACCATCTAAGAAAAATGTCAAAAAGTTAGTTTTGAGGAAGAGGGCGTTTCCGTAGATAAAAAACTTGAATTCTCCGCTCCAACAAAAGCTATTTTACTAGCAAGGGTATAATTGTCCCGGTTTTCACAGTAAATACATTTAGTTGGCCGTTACTGCTCCGGACGGACTCAGTTTGTCTAGTTTGGGGGGGAGGGGGAGGGGGAGGCATCTCTTCAAATGCCACGATGGTACATGTAACCGCCAGAGGTGAAGCATGTGACTGCGTACCATGTACTTGTTATCTGGCTTAATCGAAAAAAAAAAAGCACGTGCATGCATTTCTTTTTAATTAATTCCCATTTTAGTGTGTGAATAAGAGACGTGTAATGTTTAAAATGTTTTAATGCGAATAATGGTATCAAAAAATGAATAGATGAACGGCGCTTTTTATAATTGAAATGTGTGCTTTCATCCCTTTACAAAATACTTGCCAGTAGGATTTAGCAATGTCTCCAGGAGTGTATGCTGGCAACAAGCTTCTGACAAAATGACGTTGTCTTTTGGTGCATTTTTTTTCGTGTGAAAGAAAATAAGAAGTTTGGGGATGTTCACAGAGAGCAATTTTAGCGTCTATCAACCACACACACACACACACTGAAATATATTATCATACCTAAACAGTCATATACATTGATACTGGAAGACGTCATTAATATTTAACCATTAACCTGTACCAGGTCGTGCAATTTGTCCCACTGTCATTAATTGCCTAGGGGGGGGGGGGGGGGGGTAATGTATTGAAATAAACAGATATAAATCGCCAGCGTCAGTAAATAATCGCAGTCTATCAATTATATTTGATGAACAACTTCGGCTTAATGACGATGAAGAGACGAGAACAAACCGCTGTACCATAGTAAATACTGTTTGTACTTAAGGTAAGATATTTTTATCCTACTGCCCACAGTTTAAAAATCTGAAATGAATTATTGATTTTTATCATGTACAATTGTCCCCAAGCCTGTGACGACCTTTTATCAATGAACAGTAATTGATAATCTGCGTTTCGTCACAGGACCGACTGAATTCTTGATATTTCAATATGTTTATGTCTGCATGAGAAAGCTAAATAAAGTATACTTGTAGTTTTAAATAACAGAGAAAAAAATATGAGCCTTGAATAATTTTTATGGAACATATAATACCCATTTCCTTGTATAAAATCAAAAACGTCCTACCTTAATTTGTCCAACAGTTTTAAAAATGACCTAAATTTATCTTGCGTTATTTTGTTACTAGAAAAAAAATAATAAAAAGAAGCTTGGGAATGCGCTCCATGAACAACGTTTATATTCTCTTATATATTATCATTATCTTGACAGTCGGGGCCCGTTTATCCTGAAAACTAGTTATACTGATTCTGGTCACCTAGTCAGTTCACTAAAACAGAAATTCGAATTCTCCTCCTAAACACAAAATTGATTTTGTTAGTAGGGTCTGAATTGCAATTCAAAATCAAATAATTTATCGTCTAACCCAAATAGAAAGGAAAAAACTTTTATGTATTTCGATTTCATTTTTACATTACTTTGCATTATTACATTACATTATTATGATAATATATTAAAATATACTTAGCGTTACATTAAGTTTCTGATATAAGGCGTCCGGGGATTATTTTTAACTTACACCAATTTAGAAAAGTGTCCCCAAGTCAATTCTGTCTATGATGGCATTTCATCTGAACGGTAACAGGCAACAACCTATAGATTTGGTATTAACAACCCTAGCGTACATGCATATGTATTATATCTCAAAGGTGAAAGTGAACAAATAGATAAATGAATAAGTAGATTTCTTGAACATTTGAATTGGTTTTGATTGTCAGTAGACAATCTCCATCCTATCGGAAATTCCCATTTTCCTTTCACACGTCAAATACTTTAAGTTATTTGAATCGTTTTAAAAATATTTTATTAGGATATAGCATTCCAGATCCATCATATGAAATATATATCAACTTGACAATATGCATAGTATTGAGAAGTATGAAAAAGAAAATACTTTATTTACTGCTGGCACATGTACATGTATAACAGCATTAATGGCTGTACACATAAAAGTTTAATTTATTTACGAACTTAAATATTTGCCAATGCCTGTCCAAAGTGGCGAGTTAAAGCCTGGTAAGCAAGTGCAGCTTTACGTAGACTTCGAACGCCATTTTTTAATCACAGTTTCAAGTGTTATGGACAGTTTTTTACATTAGCACTTCGCCCATATGGGAATGATGTATTTGTTTTGAAATGTATCTTTATCGCACGAACCTTTTTTATCTATGTAATAAGTTATATATTATATATATTTGTCTATATTCAAGCCCGTAGCCAGGGGGGGGGGGGGGGGGTTCGGGGGGTTCGAAAGAACCGCCCCTTTCGCTGGGAAAAGGTCCACTTTGGGTAAAATTTGATCTAGGTACATGTACATGAAGTTTTTTTGGAAAAGGTCCACTTTTTCAGAAAAAGAACCCCCCTTTTGAAATTGCTGGCTACAGGCCTGATATTCTATGTAATAAATAATATATTATATATAAGTTATCTATTATGCAAAACGTCACTGTCATTACACTTATTCAGAATCAGCAGTAATCAAGCAGAATGAGCCGGAATGAAGAATTTTCAAAATTCGAATCACATTCCGGAAGAAATTTCATATTGACCTAAATTATTGTAAGAATACCATTGGAATACTCAGAATGCGCTTGAATCCGCCTGGATTCGTGCACAATTTGGGTGTATTAGCTCTCAAATGCAGCTCGAATGTAGTTGGAAAACTAGGAATATCAATAATGCTGTCAGAATGCAGTCAGAATATTTAGAAAACACTTCGAATACCGTACGAGTGTAGTTCGATTGCTGGCTGAAATAGGATTTCGGCGGCCATCGAGATGCATTTGAGTTGCATTCCGTCTCTTTCTAGAAGGATTTGAAGTGTCTTGCCATTTCGGTTCTCCCGTACCAGCTGGATAATCTCCTGACCGATACATAGGGGGAATATTTAAATTGGTATATCACTGGAACTGAGTAACTTAAAAACTTGTAATAGGTATCATTTCTAATGAAAAGTGGTATGATGTTTCATTTAGAAATAGTTTGGAAGTCATCAGATATCAAAGTTCTGCATATATGTCAATACAAATCTCGAAAAGGACCAAAACAGCTTATATTACAAAATCAGTTTTCTTTATTTTTTTAACAGAAATGAAATTTCAAAGAATTTCCCTAGCTTTGAAATGAACACGTACAAGGTAGACACAAGAATGATATTATAACCATCCCATCTACTTTGTTTCCTGTATCTCACCGACATGGAAATTTTACTTTGAAAGTTATTCATTTTGCAGCTTAACCTCGACCATGGCTATCCCAATTACTTTAGAGAACCAGATCAAGCTTCAGAAAAACTGGGAAGCCATCTGTGACGACTTAGGTGTGAAGCACGTTTCCCACAAGCTCATCACAAGAGGTATTCTGACCCAAAAGGAACTGAATGATGTATTAGAAAAGAGAACTCAACTTGAGCAGACCCAGAAGCTCCTTACTCTTTTGTTAACCAAGGACAATCAACATTTCGAGTGCTTCCAAACATGCTTGCAGGATGACTATAGTTGGTTGGCAGATGGACTGTGTGGAACTGTTGTGACGGGAGAAGATAGAAAGAAGTTTACAAGTAAGTAGAAGAAGATTATCTTTAGAAAGGCACAATTGTCATTACTGTGATAGAGATTTACTTCTGGTCAGGTGAATCTTTTATAGTTTTTGATCGTTGAAATCGGCATTCTGCTAAAATAGATAATCAAAGGTGGTATAGGATACCGCAAACTAAACCATAAGCTAAAAAGTGGGTTATACTAAACAAGGTCAGATTATACATAAAGAAATAAATAAAATGGCAGATATTCAGTTTCAAATTATTTTTTCTTTCAAGTTGAGTTCTAAAAATTATTCGCCTTGATGCCTATGTTAAACATTATAATAATGACCAGCGCTTGTTCGTGCCCTGATGTTATCTTTAATAGAGCAACTAAAACTTCTCACTGCTAGAGGACATCTTGTAACGTATTGCTAATCCAAATTGTGACCTTCTCACCGTAACTCCCATTCCATTTACATACATGCCCTCTTTCAGCATCTCTCCTGGAACAATGTTCTCTCCCCCAACACCCTGTATGCTTTGAAGGACGCTGTGATGAGGTTGAGGAGATAACGCAGCTGTTCCTTAACGGCGGTCAGCTAGCCTCCATTCAAGCGTTTGGTGGGCAAGGTAAAACTGCCCTTGCTACGGTTATTGGTCACACATTTGTCTCAAGACTTGGAATCCGCTCCGTTATGGCGGACCTGAGAAATGTTTCCACCGATTTAGACATTGTAAAATCCTTGTTATTAGCTTTGAAATTACATACGGATACAGATTTAGAACACTTAAACCCAGAAAAACTTCTCACAAAAGCTTGCCAAGAAGTAGCACAGTTTGGGCAAAAGATATTGATAATTCTAGACAATTGTGAGACCGCTATGGGTAGGGATACACTTGATTATTTCCGTGATTTGTTAAGCAAGTTGAACACAAACTGCAGAAATGCATATGTATTATGCACGTCACGTGACACGATTCATTTGCCCAACATGAAGGTTCATGTCCAGCCCCTCGACTCCCTATCTCAGTCGGCGTCCTTTTCCATACTCCGATGGTATTCCCCCACCCTGGACCGTGAAGAAGGGAACGTTCTAGGTGCGAAATGCGGATTCATGGCACTGTTACTCCATATTTTGGGGTATCTACTTAATCAAGGAATAAAGGCCGCCGATTTGGTAAAAGAACTTGCTTGTAGCGTAGAATTTGACAAAAAATTATTTGGCCTGGGACCAGAACTGCAAGATGTTCACGCTTGTATCAATCTTACATACAAACGACTGAGTTCTAAGGAACAGATGGCGTGTCAACTTCTGTCAGTTTTCCCGTCAATGTTCACAGCTAATGAGGCATTTGCCTTGATAAGCAAAGAGTGTGAAGATATCACACCACTAGAGGCTCAAGGAACACTCCGGACTCTGTGTAACACCTCGATGCTTGTGTATGATAAAGCACGAGAAGTATATGTGATGCACAGCATAATCCAAGCCTTTGCTCAATACGAAATGTCAGCGGAAAACAAGGAGCGATTCAATCTTCATTTTGTGAATTTCATGGAACCTTGCATAAGTGGTCTGAATAGTAAAGGTGTCCGTGAAGGAATTATTTATTTTGAAGGAGAAAGAGATCGGTTTTCAAAATTTCTTGATATTTTCTATATCCTGTCACTTTCCTCAAGGCAAATTCTCTACGACAAAATGAAGGAGTTTGCAGCGGGTCTCTCTGCTCTACACAGGTACGACCATGCATTTCGCGCCTATAAGACCCTGTTGGAGACCCTCCTTGAAGTTGGGGAAATGGTAAACAGTGCTGAAGCTGCTTTTTTATACAGTAAGATTGGTACTTTGCATAAAGATTTGGAAGAGATACCGGCTGCCATTGCAAACCTGAAGAAAGCAATTGAAATATACGAATCACTACCAGATAAATACAGTTACAAACAATATTTTCACAGTATCTTTAATCTTTCTTCAATATATGTTTCCGAAAACAAAATTTCAGAATCTTCCATGTTGCTAGAGAACTATATAGCAGAAGCTCCTGACCTTTGTTCCCGGTTTTTATTTACATGGTTAAATAATGCGATCAAGCCTGCAGAAATGCGGCAAGATATGGATTCCTTTGTTGAATCACTGTTGAACACTTTTATACACTCACATAGTTCAAATGAATTATTTGAGAGTGACATCCCTGATACACCAATTGGGGTAATAGTTGAATTATTAAACAATGCACATTTTATCGCGGACGGTATGAAAAACTTCCTTATCGATATGTTTGTATTTGAGTTACCAATGGATGCCAGAAGTGGAAACTTAAGCTTACTATTTGAAAAACTACTAACAGACATTTCAGAAACATGCGAGGAAATGAATATGCCATCAGATGAAGCAATGGAGCTAACGAATTCCCTCTTACTAGCAAGACCTAATAACGCGGGTGATTATTATAAGGGTATATTTGATAAATTGAAGAGGATATTTGGAGAAAACAGCAACCAAATAGGAAGCATTATTTTTCAGGAGGCTTGTGCCTTATCAACACAGGGAAAACATGCAGATGCCCTCAGTGCATTCCAAAGAGCTCTTCATATATTTGAACAAGCGTCCGGCGAATGTCCGTTAACGGCCGAAACCCTTCTCAGAATAGGCCAGGAAATGATAAAGCTGGACAATGCAGACGGCGCGGTTTCTTTCCTCAGGCAAGCTTTGGCTATGAATGAAAAAATGCTGGGAGAAAACCACGAGCAGACAGCAAACATGATCCTTTCCCTGGCTGGTGCCTTGTCAATACAGGGAAAATATAAAGATGCCCTCAGTACATGCCAAAGAGCACTTCGTATATTTGAACAAGTGTCCGACCAATGCCTCAATATGGCTTTAACCCTCTGCTGCATGGGTGAGCAAATGAGGAAGCTTGACAATACGGAGGGTGCGGTTTATTTCCTCAGGAAAGCTTTGGCTATGAATGAAAAGATGCTGGGAGAAAACGACGAGCAGACAGCAAACACGATCCTTTGCCTGGGCTTTGCCTTGTCAGCACAGGGAAAACATGAAGATGCCCTCAGTACATTCCAAAGAGCTCTTCGTATATTTGAACAAATGTCCAGTGAAAGTGTGAATACGCGTACGGCCATAACCCTCAACTGCATGGCTGATGAAATGATAGAGCTGGACAATGCAGACGGTGCAATCGATGTCGTCAAGAAAGCTCTGGCTATAATGGAGAAGACGGTAGGAGAAAACCACGAGCAAACAGCAATCTCGTTCTTCTTGCTGGGTCGTGCCTTGTCAGCACAGGGAAAACATACAGATGCCCTCTGTACACTCCAAAGAGCTCTCCGTATAGGTGAACACGTGTTGGGTGATAGCGCTATCACAGCTTATACGATGTTCTACCTGGGCCAGGAAATGAAGCTAATAGGCGACATTAAGGAGAGCCTTGATATGCACCAAAGAGCTCTGGACATACGTCGCTCTGTACTTGCGGACCACGAAGACACTCTGCTCAGCCTTGAAGCTGTTGTTGATCTCTTGGACCTCAACGGGAAACCCTCGGAGAGTGCAGATATGAAGATGGAAGCCACCGCCATGAAGGAAAGATTGGAAGCTGCGAAATTAGAGGTGCAGAAAATTGCACGAGTCGCTATAGAGAGATTTGAAACTGAAACCTCTGCAAAAACTACACAAAGACAGTTGGAAGACCTTGACCTCGGGTCAAATCCAGCCAACCCATCAGGAGGCAAAACTGATAAGAAAGAGGCTGATTCAACATTGACTTAATAAAAAAGAGAGATGAATGACTTTGATCTTGATTAGTACTCTAGGCACAGTGCACTTATGGTGATACGACGTCCCTGAAAATCATCGGATATGTCGAAGACATTTAATAAGTCATAGACGATTTCAGAAATTTCAAGTAATAACTTTTATTGTATTCTCTATAATACATTATGTCAATTTTGAAACGGCTGAGTAAGGCTTATTTACCAGTCTCATTAAGAAGCCAGTGATAATGAAGTGTATGAAGCCATTGGCTGGAGTACGTACTAAAGGGGTGTAATATTGAATAGAGAGTAAGAATGTACCTGACCAGGCAACGAGTTCACATTTAACGATTGAAATTGGTCATTTTTGTCAGTGTGGATTTCCTCTGTAGCGTTTAGACGTAACGATTTTGACAGCGAATCTGGCAGGTTATACTAACTTGCTATCCTAATTAAAGGTACCCAACGATGTCCGCATTTCGAGCTCCATTCTAAATTACATTTATATCTAAAATTTGCACGGTTCCGGACAGGAAGAACGTTGTTGTTTTACGTGTAGATAATGTTACAGAACTATACCAAGTGATGAACCGTGTAATTCATGTTATTCTGTATGAAATGTGAAGATAGGGAACTCGAAGGGAACATAATATTAGGCAAAGCGCACATATAGTCCACGTCCATGACTATCATCGTAAGAACGTTGTTTTTTTACGTATAGATAATGTTACAGAAGTATACCAAGTGATGAACCGTGTACTTCATGTTATTGTTTGTGTGATGTAAAGATAGGGGACTCGAAGGGAACATAATATTGACTTTCAAACAAGAACGCGAGGCAGAGTGTGAAATTAGACTCAATTGATACTATTAGTGCCAGTGTATACGGGTTGTTCTAGATTAAAGACAAAACAGCGCCAAGTGCACATTCCACGTCCAATGTACGGGAGGGGGATAGGTTTCCATCGTCATACATAACATATATTATTGTAGTTGCACAAGCACTGTATATATTTAAAACGCAAAAAAGAAATTGCATGCATTGAAAAAGAAGGAATCGAAAATAGTGTGTAAATAATCTTAGAGAATATGACATCCCAATGGTGAATATTTTGTATTAGAAATGACAAACACTCTAGATGTAGAAGACGACACACCCAGTGATGTATGGTCATGGCATAGTGAAGAATTGTTATCTGTCACATTTTTTAAAGTCCAAAACGTGTGAGCCCTGAAAAAAGCGTTTTAATATGTGTATGTTCATTTATTTGTTTATATACATGTATAAATAGTAGTACACGTATTTTGATAAAGAAAATAGTATATTTACGAAAAAGGTATTTATTCAATTCAACGGACGATCAGGTGTAGGGGCAATCAAGATGATGCAAAGTAAAGATTTTTACTGTGAAGAGAAGCATCAGAAGCAGTCGCTGGTATTTTAAATTTTGCGGCCACTTTTTACGTAGCATAGAATGAAAACTGTACATGGGTAGCAGCTATAATATTGTATATTTATTACATTTATGTACCGTTAGTGGATATTCTATAATCCGTCCACCCCTTCGGAGCAGAGGACAGGAAAATGACTCCTCGTGCGTGGATAGATATGAATTGAGAACTTAACTTATTCAACACCAGAGTGTTTAAGTAATATGTTTTTAGTAGTTACTACATGTATAAAAAAAAGGTTTATTTATTTGTAAAAGACCATCGGTAACATTATTGGGAATCCACTGGTGTGGGAATCGGGTCAGGAAAGATTTTCACAGGTCTATTTATATATACAGGTACTTGACCAGAGACAGATTGTACGCCTGTGTATTTATTAGTATTGTAATGACACTAATTATGAAATTATATTGTTATGATGTTAAAAAGTAAAACGTTGGTAGAAATTGTTTAATACTTGTACCAATGTTTCTATTGGTCTTGAAAGGCCGTGTTAAAACACTACAGTAGAAAATGAAGCAGAGCTACGATTCTTTGATACTTTTATTCAAGAGACAAACTAAAAGAGATAAATAGAAGAGAGAGGCTGACTTGTACATACAGTATGACGTTATACAAGTACTAGTATATTCCTCTGAAATGATACATTCCACGTCCAATGTACGGGAGGGGGATAGGTACATCCATTTTATTAGTATATAATTATATGCATGTTTAATGGGATCCAAGTCCGAGGAAAAACACACAGCTATAATTTTGGAGTCAAATATTGAGGATTGACTATGACTTACATACCCGAGGCTGAGCACCTACTACAAGTTGTGCAATGTTTGGGATATGCTGCTCTGAATAGCTACTGTGCTACAAGTGCCACACTTGACATTTTGCATGTACGGGGCATCCACCGGTAGATGGCGCTGCAGCTGTTTGAATGGCAAGGGGACACTTCAATATGGATAACCGACGTGCAGGTACATGTAAGACCATCCATTTATTAAAATACTCATTTAAACAAACTGTCTGTGTCTTGTTTAAGACCTGATTGGATAAATGTGTTAAATATGCACTCAGTTTATCCATCTGCTGGGCATACTACGTAACAGAGCCACCAGGAGATTTTAACCTGAAAATAACAATTTCAACAATTGCAAGTTTTTGACACCCAGCATTAATTCTAGTCCATTGGTGGAATGACATTGTATATTACAATATTCCAACATATTGCCTCAAACTTTTGTAAGTTCTTAATCCGAAGCTCACTGTTGTAAGTTCATCTTGTTTTCTAGTTCTATTGTCAAATATATGAAAATTGTATTTATTTTAGGACCACATCGGTGCCTTGCTTCATATTTTCTGCTCCAGACTTATGATGTTATAATATGATGACATCGGAGCTCTCCTTGGTGTGGTAAGTATACTTCCACTCATATGAATTATTTGTTTTATTTTCGAGTGAAGAAACACTAGGTATATAGCAATAAAATTCATAGCCGACACAAGAACATCTTTATTACGGTAGAGACTCAGGATATCAGGATTATTAATATTATGGTAGAATCAGGACATCAGTATAATTACGGTGCATTCAGAATATCTGTAGTATTTTAGTATTTTCTTTTTCCTCCCCTTCCCCCCATTTGCAGAAAATATGGAGCAATTTGCTCTTCAACTTGGGACAGTCTTTTGCTATCACTGACCGAAGAAATTTGATTACCTTATGTCTGGAAGTTTCCCCTGTCCCATACACAGCTCAAAAAAAAAAAAAAAAAAAAAAAAAAAAAAAAAAAAAAAAAAAAAAAACAGCAGAGGCATTTACACACGAGGATTATAGTAATGGTAAGAATATATAAGAACTTAGGCATTAAACTCCGGAACTGGCTCTGCTGTTACTGGGAGAGGAATGGAGTCAAGATTTTGTGCGAAGAACCTGTACCCCCTCCCCTTTCTACCTCCTACCAACTACCTCCAAACCCTCCTGTGGGAATCAAATTTGATTTTCTTGTATAGATTCCTGACCACCAATTAAAAACATATAAATGAATAAATAATTACTTCAAAGTAATAAGTAATAAATTATTTCCCTTGAAACGACTGGCAATTCTTGGTATATGAAATATCTTTTTCTTTCAGACTGAACATGTTCACCAACGTAGCGGTAATATGACCCAATTGTGCCAAATGTCCAGTGATATTATGAATTTGGCATCATGAGGAGACCATCAAGGTAACTATGGTTTTTGCACGACCACTTCTTTTTAAACTACTTGCTTTTTCGTTCAAAATATACTGAACAAAAATATAAAGGCACGAAAGAATATGTAGATTTATTTTATATGCTTTATTCATACTTTCTGCACCAGACTGAGCTGGTGAAAGTGTACATAGATTAAGGTAATAGCAGCAATAATAATGATGATAGTAAAATACATAGATAAATAACACCAAAATTACTTATGTAGAAATGTACCAATGTTTCCACTATGTGAACTAAATCTTCGTATTTATAGTAATAATTGATAGACATCATGAAGTGGAAGATGTAGCACAGTTTCTTTTTTTAAAAACAAGGGTAAGGAATTTGGCCAAGGAAATTATCACTGTTTCGTTTGGATTGTTCACTATGTAGTGGAATTTATCTTTGTTGTTTAAATGTGCAAAGCATGTGTGGCTGCTTTGTATTATTTTAAAGAGTTCTTTTCTGTGTTCTGTATACATAGGGCAGGTAATTAAGAAGTGTTCTTCATCCTCTATAACTCCAGAGTGGCAGATTTGGCATTTTCTGTCTTCGACTGGTGTTGGTTTACCCTTGACGTGGCGACCTGTTTCTATGTGCAAATTGTGGCTGCTGATTCTGAATTTGGTTAGGGTTTGACGTTTTTCTATATCTTGTATTATATCAAGGTATTTTTCTTCCTCAAAATGAAGTTTGAAAGTTTTATACCTTCTCAATTTGAGATTTTCTTTTGATATCCTACTATGCCAAAGTTGTATACTACTGTCTCTAAGTCTAACACTAAAAATTTTCATGAAGTTTTTGTCTACTTTCTGTTTGAGCCATACGTCTCCAAACCCATTTTCCACAAGAATTTTCTTTACTCCTTCACTCCATGACACACTGTGGCGTGTGTTGTGAAGGTTAGTATTTGACAGAAGATCAAAGTGTTTTAGTTCATCTAAGTATGTCCGTTTTAGTAGAACACCATCATCTAAGTGTAAAATTTTAACCCAGTATTTGATTACTTGTATTTGGATTTTTGTGTAGCTTGGTAGGCGCCCAAGTTCTCCTCGGACATCATAATTACAAGACTTAGAATGCACCCCTAAAAGCTGCTTGCAGAATTGAAGATGTATTTTTTCTATTGGGGATTTATCATTAAATGGAGTGAAACCCCATATTTCTGCTCCATATGTTGCAACTGGGGAAATCAGTGTGTCATAAAGATTTTCTTTTAAGGAGGTGGGAATGGTACTAGCTAGAGGAAGATTGCGCTTGAGACTGAAAAAGGCCTTTTGTTCATGTAAATTTTGCTGTGCAGGGCTAGCGAGCCGGATCTTGTGAAGAGGAGACCTAGGTAAAGGTAGCTTGTTGCTACTGGTACCAACTGGTTATGGAAATAAAAATTTTCTGTATGAACACCAGTGTGACCATGTATTTTTCCCTTACTATTAAAAATAACAACTTTTGTCTTTTTTAAGTTAACAGATAACCTCCATCTGTCACAGTATTCTTCCAAACATTTTAAACTGTACTGAAGGCCTGAGGCGCTTGCCGAAAACAAAACTAGATCGTCGGCATAGAAAAGACCAGTAACAGGTTTTCCATCAAGTGATGGAGCTTTGCTGTGGGATTCATCTATAAGTCTAAGTATGTCATCAATGTATATATTAAAAATGAAAGGGCTCAGTGTATCTCCTTGCTTAACTCCTCTAAATGTTGGGAAAGAATTTGTCAGTCCATGGGTAGTTTTAACACATGCGGTGGAGTTATCGTATATCGATTTTATGTTATTGTAGAATTTTCCACCTACATCTAGATTAAGCAGTTTGAAAAGCAGACCATTCCTCCAGACACAGTCAAAGGCCTTACTGAAATCCACAAAACATGTATACAACCGTTTTTTTGACCTTGAGAATTTTGTAATCAGGGATTTTAGTATAAATAGATTATTTGAGGTACTGTAGCCATCCCTGAATCCAGCCTGGTTAGCTATGGGAACATTCTTTTCTGCACAGAAAGCTTTCAGTCTGTTCAAGAGAAGGGAATTGTAAAGTTTGCTGACACAACTTGAGATGGAAATATCACGATAATTGTCAACCACACTAGGATCACCTGACTTAAAAAGGGGTACTATGTAGCTGTGGTTCCAGATCTTAGGGTAGATTCCACTAAGAAATACAGCATTGAAAAGTTTATGTAACACTGGGAGAATGATTGTTTTACCTGCTTTTAGCATTTCGTTGCTGATTTTATCTTCCCCAGGTGCTTTATTGTTTATAAGCAAATTAATTTGTTTCCTAATATCATCAGAAGTTAATTCATAATCGAGACAATTTTTGCTGGAGTTTTGTGATTCCAATACCACTAGTTTGTTTTCTATCTCAACTTTAAATCCGTCATTATATTGCTTATTTTCACCTGCCATGTTCAATTTATATATGAAACTAGAGTATACAGCTAAAAATAACAGCCTATTTTTTTCGACAAATAGACATCACTTTGAGAGCATTAGGGGAAGTTTAAATGCATAGTCCAAGAGTTAGGGCGTCAACTACACCATGTGGGTCAACACCCTGAGTTCACAGACACCATTAACTTTGCGCAGAGCAGTACACAAGCTGCGCATGGACATCACTAAGTTGTTAATAGTGGTCTGAGGGATATTATCCCATTCCTCCTGGAGTGTTACTCGCAGCTGGCGAACATTCTCGAGAGCTGGAACATGGTGGCTAAAACGCTGATCCAGAACATTCCACAGGTGTTTGATGGGCGAGATATCGGGTGTGGTCGGTGCATGTGGGTGGTTCCTGGTGCTACCAGTGTCTCTGAAACGTGTTTTCAGACGGCTGACAGTGGAATGATGCACATTCGGGCATGCTGCAACTTCTGTTACCAACAAGCCAGCATTGAGCATGCCGATGGCATGCTCCCTCATGATTTCAGACATCTGTTGCATGTTGACTAGTGACAGAAGTGCACATTTTGGTGTGTCCTTTTATTGCCTAGACTGTAGGGAGTGTCTGTGTATTGGTCATGCAGATTGACCTCCACCCCGTCATGCTCCATTATAGTCTTATGGGTGTAAAAACTGAACCTTTGAGTATACTCACGGGGAGCGGCCAAGTGAAATCAGACTACTATACTTGATCAAAACAAATCCATCCGTTCACAAATAAACCATCAACCTGGGCATATTTCATGATTATCCATTTCAACTGACCATTTTAGTATCGTGCGTTTATATTTTTGTTCAGTATATGTTGGATTCCACATTCATTTTGTTGCTACAGTGGATATTTCAACAAAGTTAATCCCTTTTGGAGGTCTGGCTACAAACAGTAATGTGATCACTGATCGGTTTTTTTGGTATTGGTAATCATCATCATCATCAGTGTCCTTCGTCCCGTGTGGGACATAAGGCCACAGAATTGGTAATAGCATTATTAAAATAAATTACCATATTTCCCTGAATGGGTCCGCTTATGTATTCACTGCTAATAAAATTATTAAGACATTGTTTCATTAGTTATTTTCTTCTTTAAAATTTCAGTAAGTGGCCACCAGAAGATATATTTTGTGTGTTTGGTTGACAGCCTCCATCACCATTCCAAGATTACCTCGTCTATGGACAGTTATCCTCTGGTTAAATTACATGACTGACATTTAACATAAATGTGTATCTTTTCATATCTATGTTTATTAAAACTTAAATTAAATCAGAATAAGTAAAGGTAAAAATAGCTTTTGAATAATTTTCAGAAGCATAATGGGTTTACAATTATGAATAATACAGTATATGTTGTGGAGTATATTTTTATTGAGGTGTTTCAATCAATAGCTTGTTTCAAAAACATGTTCTATGTAAACAGATGTTTGATGAGATTTAAGATTTTTAAGATTTTAAAGCTTTTAGTGATTGCAGTTATGAATCATTTTCTATTATTTAGACACTAAAAAACTGATATTCGCTATTTAGGAATTACTATTTTCCATATTTTGCACCCTCGGTGTGATAGACTTTAATTTGATTTGCAATGTACCTTGATGGAATGAAACTAAAAAACAAGATCTAAATGGCTTTGTAATGTGAACTTTATTGCATCATTTTTTTTTTCAAAAAATTTATATCAAGTTGTTCAATATGTATCAATAACAGACACAAATGCTGGTTAGTGCTGATATTAACTTGATTTTCAAAAGTTGCATAAGAAAGTGAATCCTAATAAAATATTATTGATTGTCGTGTTAATTATCTTTGGTAGTTATCTTCTATTGCACCTTACGTAGGACGGACTTATAATACATGTATAAGAATGATGCACAAACATAAGCAAGGCAATTGATCTTTACAATAGACTTTGGTTGGGGTTCTGGGGTTCATCTGCCTGCAGATGATGGGGTTTTAGCTTTTATCACGTGGTCGCAATATTCCAATCAAATGTCAGTATT